TTACAGCGTAAAAGAAAATTTTAAAATGGCGGCTGGGCGTCATCTTGAAGCTTTTTATATAACCCTAGAGTACCCACTTACCGACTTTCAAAATGCGGACTGGCGGGCTGTCGAGGTTGAGCGTTTTTGTGATTTGAATGGCTAGTAACTCAACAACTAATCGTGGAAACACTTTACAGTTCTTGGCAGTATTATTACACGCACTATAGGTTGTGTATATAACGTTGCTTGTCGGTTGTTCAAAGCTTTAGCACTTATTAATAGATATGTTAATAGATACTCTTCTTCAATTTGTATGTGTAGTTTTTAAACAAATAAAATATCATTTCTATATAGAAGAAATATATATGTTCATCAAAGTTTAATGAATATTGATATTTCTAGTATAAAATATTTATATTTTTTAAAGCAACCTTTTGCCGCTATGAGTGCTTGAATTCGGCGTGGCATGCTGTCAACGCAAAACTGCAGCATATCCTGCATTTTAGGATTTTTATTTTACACATTTATACTTTTATCCAATAGTTGGGTATTATTTGTTATACTTTGGACTCATTCTATTGGAGAATGTTATTAAGTGGTGTCCTAGCGTCCAACCAGCTGTCACTTTTACGCCAAAATTTTAGCAATAATTTCATCACCTCGGATTTCAACGATCAAAGTTTATATTTTCGCTTCTGTGAATCCATCATGTTGTGTTATTTTCTTTCGGTTCCCCGATATCACGAAATATTCATTATATATTTATTTAATAATATTTTTTAGTTACTTAAATATTTGTTTTTCTAAATAAATATTTAATAAATATTTGAAATATAATATTTTTATTGAACATTTATTCAATATATTTTAAATATTTTAAATACAATATTTCATTTACAATATTCATTAAATATTTACTTTTCAATCAATGGAACATAATGAATCTCCAATAATTAGAAAATATTCATTTAATATTTTCGGCTATGACACATGTGCGTGTGACATCGAGCAGCCAATGGGATAATAGCAAGCCGGCCTGAGGCGACCTGTTTGACGGCATCCGTTTTACCTGTGACTTTCACTATGATAGCGTGCTTCCTGTGTACCTCCAAGTGGTTCATTATTTGAGTGTTTTTTGTGGAAAAGGGAAAAGGGTAAGTTTATCAATAATTACATAGCATAATTTAACTGACTAGTAAACATTATTATGCCAGCTGAGTATAAACGTATTCACAAAACCATAAATAACTAACCTTGAAATGTAACAGTCATTTGGTATTGATGGATTTATCTGAGAACGGGTACGAAAATTATGTTCATAACATCCCAAGGAAAAGACATATAATCGCAACTTGATCGAGATACATCAAAAATGCTTTTTTTAAATATCTCAATTATAATTATTTCTATGGTAGTACGTTTAACAGTCGAAAATACTTTACTGTTGTCCCTTGAATTGTAATATAAAATCCCAAATAGTTATGGCTAAGTTAGCTCCCTTACGAAAAAAGTCACATTTCAACAAAATCAATAAGTGGTCTATTTTCAAATACCTTTTCTTTAAAAGTTAGTCAAAGGATCAAGTTGTGCCCATGGACATTATTCATCAAGATATCTAAAATAACATACCAAATTTTCTTAGAGTTAACCAAATCTCGAACTAGCATAGACAGAAAATGTGGGATCCTTTTAGGTACATTATAGAGCTGCTTTTCAGTGACCCAGTTGAGCTACTCGGAGTAACTCACCATGCTCAGCACCAGTTTTGTTCCACTTGTATTTTATATTCCCATTAATACACTGGAAAGCAGCTTGTGTAATCAATAATACTTCATGATTAGTAAGTTCGTTTTTTTTTCCGAGGAGTGGACTTGCAAGATGCGGAATCGGCTTGGAATATTTTTTTATAATATTTTTCTAGCAAATGAAACCATTATATCTAGAATGCATTTTCCTTATGAACCCAATTTTATATAAGCATTCCTACAGGTTTCGCTAAAATAACCAATGGAGAATTTTCTAAATACACTGAAAATATGTATCAGATTAATGCTTGAAAATCCATACATATATACGAAAAATATTAGATATTTCATCAAAATATCTTTAAAAATCTTTCCTCATATATTTTCTAAATATTTGGAAAAATTATCACAAAAATATATGAATTATATATACTACAAATATCTATAATGAATATTTTATAAATATATAAGAAATGCATTTATTAAATATTAAAAAATCTGTCTCTACAAATATTTAACAAACATTTTTTAAAAATATTTAATAAATATTTAATGCTATCGGGGGGTTAGTAAGCTTTTCCCGGTATAGTCATACTTAATAGACACATGCCCTTGTAGTTTTTATCTCTGTTTTTAAATAATAGTAATACGATAGCTACCTCCCAGTCCTTCGGTATTTTGTTATCTTCTGCTATTTTGTTCAACAGTTCTTAAAATACTCTTTTACCTATATTCCCCATCTACTTTACTATATCTGCTAATATTCTGTTGTGTCCCAAGGCTTTCCCTAAGTTGTTTACAGCACTTTCTAGTTTTTCTCCAATAATAGGTTGTGTTACGATTCGATCATTTGTCCTAATGTTTTGTATTAACTCGTCTTTGACACAATTTTCCGTATATTTTTCCCCTCCTAATTACTGCTAAAAATATTCGCTTAATATTTCCATGATGTTTCTTAATATACATTTTTTGGCCCTTCGTTCTCATTGTGTTCCTGTTCTTAAAATTATTAGATGCTTACGCCATTGATATCAGCCGTCACATACACACATCTCCACAAGCAGCCTTATTACACATCAAACTCCACAGCAACCCAAATCATCTCACAACGAAGCCAATCAGGTGGCTTCAGTATGCTCTGAAGTGACACCCGATAACCGATAAACCGCCCTGAATAAGCGTACGATAACTTACAAAGTCGATACTGGAAGTTATAATGACGCCAACTAAGCGAAATGTGTTTACCGCAAGCTAGCTATAAAGTTTCATGTCAAAAGCCTTTAATGTTTTAGCCAAACCGAGCGATTAAAGTATTCATGAAGCTTCGGTTATTATTTAGAGGTTTGTTGTGTAAATTTTGGCTTATGAGGTTCGACAGCTGAAGTATGAAGTTGTGTTATTTACACCAAATCGAAGGCGGATGCCTAAACATCGAGGCACCGCGACATCTGTAAGAAACTTAGAGACACTTTGTTAATCCGATTCTTGAGCTGATTAAGTTTGCAGAACTGGGAAATACCTCCTTAGACAGACTATTCCACAATCTCGACACCCTAGGAACAAAGGAGCGACCGTGCAATCCAGTTCTGGCTGTACATAGTCCGTGACAATTAAGATGGGACGGCAAAGTCTGACAAAACTGTCTGGCAGTCTCGTCGCGCGGTGGCATCATGGAGGAGAGCTATACGGAGCAAAGCACGTTCACATGTGGAAGATGGGTCTCTGGCGGCTCGTCGGTGCGAAAGTGCTTAGTGACCGTTTCCTAGAGTGTCACCGATCAGTCGGACAGCCCTTCTCTGAACAGTATGGAGTATGGAAATTGTAGTCGAGATATCAGCACATCTGAACAGTTCTCGAGGTTAGGTCTTATCTGGGCCTTGTACAGAGTGACGAGGTTATGAGGAGAAAAGTTCCCTAAGCAAATAGCATAACAGCCAAATAAAGCTAGAGGTAAAAAAAGGCTAACAATTTCGTCTGTGACAACACCTAGAGGTTCCTACTGGATAAGGAAGTGGTAATTTAGTGCAGACTTGGCAATTCAAGATCTACTTTTGCAAGTGTATGGCGTAGAGGTGACGTGGTCATTAACCTTTTTTAACTAACAATTATCACTATATTGGGGCTGCAAGATCAACTTTACAGTATTCCTTAGGCAACAATATATGTTGCAACAACATTTTCAAATCGTTCTTAGCAACCGCTATACAAGCGGAATAGGCACTCCTAAAAGGATACTTCAATCACTGTATGAGGGCTGCATGTAACAGTTATAAAACAAATGTATAAATACTCTTGCAGCTGCTAAGGAACTTTTGCACGCTCAATTTTTGTCAAGTATACAATATTATAATATTATAAATGATAGCTTAGGATTTTCGAGGTCGCGAGTCTACGCTGGGTCTGCTCCTATACAAAATCATCAAAGTGTGGGTTTAACCAAAGTATAATTATTGCTTTCATAAAACTATGATGTGATTAAGTGGCCTTAATGGATCAGTTCAAGAATTACACGGTTATTCGAAAGCATATGTAAGTAAACGCAATTTATTTTTTCTGTATGGTCAAATTTGTGTACAAATAATCCATATATGGTACTCCCCAGTCACGCCCACGACCTGCCAAATTTTTGAAGTGCTATAGATACAGTTCCAGCGAAATATATTTCAGTCCCTAGGCGACAGAACACACTACCGTACGATAAACTGACCATACAGATAGACTGGTAGAGATCACGTAAATAATGGTTACAACACTGATAACTCTCGAGGACATATACAAGCTGATCAAGGAGGGTAATCAAGAACTCAAGAGACAAATTAATAGCTTGAGCGAGACTGTTAATGAAGGCAAAAAAGAAATAAACAACATCAATAATAAATATAGAGATATCGAAAAGGAAAATTCATTATTGAAAAGCAAAATCCTTAATCTAGAGAATAAGCTGAAAAAATATAACATAGTTATCTATGGGGTAAAGAAAAGTGATAAGAGGCCTATGGGAGATACTTTAAGCAATATCATAGAAAAATTAGAATTTCAAACTTCCCCAAGTGCCGTAAGGGACTGTTTCCGTATTGGCAAAAAGCTATCCGATTCTGATAATAGAGCTAGGCCACTTGTCGTCGAATTCGTTAACTACAACGTAAAACAAAAGTTTTGGAGAAAGCAAGAAAACTTCCTAAAGGTGTTGGCATACGCCAAGAGAAAATCATCAGAACCTGAAGAAAGCCAGAGAAGCATCTAATTCTGCGTTTATTAAAAACAATATTCATTATGTCAATGACGAAGCGTTTATCTGGGAAAAGCCTCAGAATGACGATATTGATGACCATCAGGATGAAGGAATCATTGAGACAGTTATCTCTAAGCAGGATAAAAATGTCGAAGAACAACTGCTCCCTCAAGATACGAAAAGTGGGAAAAGAGACTGCAAGATGGACCAAGCAAGGTCAACAAGATAGTTCAAGCAGGCTCATCTAAAAGTACCCCTACTTCCTCACACAAAGGGCCTAAACTACGCAGTACTTCGAAGTAACTGAACCATTGTGTAAGCTTGTGTTGTGTCTTTTGTTTTGTTGTGAATTTACAAACGCTGAGCGCCTTCCTATACCTTGTTTTATCGATTTATTATTCTGTGTTTATCCGGGTGCTTTTATTAGTATTGCATATATTCGTTGCATTTTCCTTATTCTGTATAGATCTAATATATTTATCACGTAATTATACTCATTTTATTTGCAAAATATGGTGGCTCCTCTTTAAGAATAAGCCTTCGCCAGATTCAAACCAACTTCGCTTGAAGACTTTTTTTATATATTTTTTTACACCTGTTTTCAATGTGTCTAGACATCTAAAATTCATGAGCTTCAACGTAAGGTCAATTCAGTCTGGTTGTCTAACTTTGAAGGAGTATGTTGTTGACTGTGCTGTCGATGTCCTGGGTATCAGTGAGCTTAGCTAACTCCAGACATTGATACCTCTTCAGTATTTATCAACAACTTCAATGTCGTTAGAGCAGATCGAAATAGCAGAGGTGGAGGCGTCGCGTTTTATGTGAGAAATGGTATTGCCTTCAAAATATTGCACTCTAATATCACCACAGTATTGGAAGAACTTTGGATCTCTGTAAAGGTTAATAAACGCAGATATTGTCTAGCTGTAGACTACCGTCCATCATCGGCTTAATTGTTTTCGTCAGTTAACTGAGTCTTTGGCCAACGTTTCACTCGATAATGATTACGCAATTATCATGGGCGATTTTAATATTAATGTTTTAATGAACGACGGCCGATCCGAGATACTGAACTGTTTTCTTGAGTCCTTTGATCTGTCTCAGTTAGTGAAAGAGCCCACACGTATAACTTCCAATAGTCAGACAACTATAGACTTGCTCATGGTTAGCTCCGCTGATATAATAAGTGGTTATGAAGTTGTTGACGTAGATGGAATATCTGACCATCTGACCCCAATATTTAATGTAGATGCATTGGAGATGGGCAACCTATGTAAGCTGAGGACATATCGTGATTACACTACCTTTAGTCTAGACAATGTTTACCATGATTAACTTTTAATAAACTGCGATTTTTTATCTACGTTGAGAGATGTAGATCAAATGATTGACTTTCTAAGCTCTAATATCTTGTGCACCTTCAACTTGCATGCTCCTGTCAGAAAAATTCGTGTTACCAACCCACCAGCTCCTTGGCGAACATAAAACTTATGATGCGAACAAAAAGTGACGCATATGAAAAATTTAAACGTACAAGAACGATTGCTGACTGGAAATTCTATAAGAAAATCAGAAATTATGTTTGTGGTGCTATTAGGCGAGAGAAAAAAGCCTACCTTCATTATGTTATGAGACAGAAAAAATCAAAGACTACATGGAACATACTCAGATCTTTGAACATCGTGAAACATAACTCCATAATTCTACATCCACATCTTCAGGATCTCGATTCATTAAATCGTGCTTTTTTAAACGTACCTCAAATAACCAAAACATTAACCCAATTAAACCTTTTAGACAAATATGAATTCGTCAAGAATAATGGTACTTTTCTGTTCACGACAGTTTCCCTGCCACTGTAGAGAAAGTTATCAATCGCATCAAAAGTCATGCTAAAGGCTCAGATGGCATCACAATTGATATGATCCGTATAATACGTAAGCATTTGCTCAAGCATATTGCCTTCATTATTAACTTTTGTATAACAAATAATCTTTAACCCTCTTCCTGGAAGAATGCTCTTGTTCTCCCTCTGCCTAAGTCTAATTATCCTTCAAAGTTTCTGATTTTCGTCCTATAAGTATGTTACCAAGTCTATCTAAGCTTTTGGAAATGGCTCTACATGAGCAGCTGCACACATTTGTTTGTCAAAATGATTTACTGGCCACCTCCCAATCTGGATTCAGACCATTACATAGCACCACCACTGCGCTCCTGTTTATCTCGGATAATATTTATAGCGCCGCTCATCAAGGAAAGCTGTCTTGGTTAGTTCTTCTTGATTTTAGCAAGACCTTCGATACGGTTGACCCAAATATTCTCTGTAAAAAGCTTAGATACTTTGGCCTGTCCTCATCGGCCTGCACGCTGAATAGAAGCTACTTAACTGATCGCTCACAGTCTGTCATATATGAAAACAATATATCAACTTCTTTATTCAGAAATTTTGGTAGCCCTCAAGGATCTATTTTGAGTAATCTTTTATTTGTTATTTATATGTATGTGATTTTCATGAAACCTGTCATATATGAAAACAATATATCAACTTCTTTATTCAGAAATTTTGGTAGCCCTCAAGGATCTATTTTGAGTCCTCTTTTATTTGTTCTTTATATATATATGTGATTTTCATGAAACCGTCAGCTACTCAATCGTTCATCATTACGCCGATGATACCCAACTTTACAACAGCTTCGATCCTGATGAATATATGCTTGGCCAACATCAAATCAATCAAGATCTGCAGTCCATTTGTGACATATCTAGTGCTCACAATCTAAAACTGAATGCTGGCAAATCTTGCTGCATTTTATTTGGGCCCAAAAAGAATCGTGAAATAAATCAACATCGCATTAATATTATGGTGAATAATGAAGACTTATCCTTCGTAAACGAATGCAAAAACCTTGGTATCTGGTTTGACTGCAAGCTACGCTTCACTAAACATGTTAACCAACTAAGCAGTGCGTCCTATAATGTGCTTCGTCAGTTATACCCGAGTCGAAGTGACCTGTCAACACAGCTCAAGCTTAAACTCTGCGAATTTCTTATCCTGCCAAAATTATCTTACGGTGACTCTGTTTATGGACCTGATCTCTTACAACGTGATGGCGAGCGGATTCAGATGATACAAAACTCATGCATCAGATTTTCTTATGGAATCCGTAAATTTGATCATATTAGTAGCGCTTTTGACCAATCGGGAAGGTTTAAGATGAATAAATTGAGGAAACTGCATTGCCTATCTCTGGTACATAAGACCCTTCTCCTTAAAGCGCCATATTATCTTTATTCAAAGGTAAACCTCCTCTGTCAGTACAATCAAAGATCCTCTAGGAATAAACGCATCTTACTTATCCCGCGGCATTCGACAGCATTGTTCACACGCAGTTTTTCGTACTGGGCACCCAAACTATATAACTTGTCAAGTTAGTATAAAGAAGATAGCCTAAGCAATTTTAGAAAAAGGTTAAATATCAGTTTAAAGCAATCGGATGGCTAGAATTTAACTTTACGCATATCCACAGGTAATTTATTGTTTCCTTTTTCTGAGAAATGTAATATTTTAAGATTTTCTCTTTTTGGTGGTCAATGTTGTGAACTGTTCCATTTAAATGTAGGCATTTTTTTTCTCTTTATAGTTTGTGTCAATGTTTTTTTAGGTCGGGTTGAAAAACAGCATAAGCTGACACTCCAGCTTTTCGTCACTAGTCCTCTTAAGCCAATTATTTTGTAATCATGTGACGAATAAAGGCCATTTATTATTATTATTATAGCTCAAACAAAGCTAAAAACCTCTCGTTTTTAACTAACGGAACTATAAATTGGAAAATAATTTTTAATTACAAAGAGTTTATATTACAGTAGTACATGGTCAATACATGGTACAATCAATCATGATTAATGACCTCAAAATAAAATTATAACAAAATTTAAGTTATTAATAGAATAATTCAGTTTAGAGTAAAAAGCGTGAGGTGCTTGATATAATCTTACAATGATTCTATTGGCAACTACCTATGAGAGGAGAGTTATGAAAATGTACTAAATGCACCCCAGGCTTTTTACTTTGAACGGAATTATTCTGTTAATAAATTAAATTTTGTTATAATTTTATTTTGAGGTCATTAATCATGATTGATTGTTCGACCATCTACTACTGTAATATAAACTCTTTGTATTATAATTAGCTATAAAGGCGTGTTTTTTGTCTTTTTAAACTATTATATATTTTTCATATTCTAGTTCGATTTATCAATTATTTTTTTGTGGACATGTCATTATATTGTATTGTCATCGATCCTTGATACGTGTGCGAAGTTTCAAATTAATCAAACTTCTGGAAATTGGTGAAAATTATGCTCAAAGATTCCGTTACATAGATACATACAGGCCAAGCTAATATAAGCGTGTTAAATATATATATATTTTTTTGTCAGGATAATCGACCAAATGTATCCACAAACGGGAGAACTGTGCGCAAATTTCAGCAAACCGGATCTGTAGGAGATGTGGAAACAAATGTGCCGATCGCCCAGTTTGTTCTGCTGAAAACATTGCTACTGTTCGCGATAGTGTGGCAGAAGACCCGGCAACCTCGACTCGCCGTCGTGCTCGACAACTGAACATCTCACGGACATAACTGATGGGAATTTTGAATACAGACTTGCATTTACACGCTTACAAGGTCCAATTTGAATCAAGAGCAGAAGCCGAATGACCATTTCAAGCGACGTCAGTACTCCGAATGGTTGGTTGAACAGACAGACGCGAATAACGACTTCACGAAGAAAATTAATCATCTTCAGCGATGAGGCACACTTTCACCTCAGTGCATTCGTTAACAAGCAGAATTGTCGCGTTTGGGCAAATGAGAATCAACGAGTGATTGTTGAAAAGCCGATGTATGCACAACGAGTGACTGGTGCGGTTTATGGACTGGCGGCGTCATCGGGCCGTACTTCTTCGAAAATGAGGTCGGCCAAGCAGTTACCGTGAATAGCGTTCGCTATCGCCAGATGATAACGGACTTTTTGTGGCCAGCAATTGAGGATATGGAGCTGTCCGGTATGTTGTTCCAACAAGACGGTGCCACTTGCCACACAGCCTACGAAACGATGGCTCTTTGGCGCGAGAAATTCAATGGCCATGTTATGGCGTTGTCAACCGGCCGCCACGATCATGTGATTTGATACCGATGGACTTTTTTCTTTGGAGATATTTAAAAGAAAAAGTGTACGTCAATAGA